GTGTGTGTGTGTGTGTGTGTGTGTGTGTGTATATACTGTATTTATAGTATTGTGCCTCAGCGGAACCAACCTTTGCATAAACGAAACTATTTTACGGTAACACTCTGTCCGTCCTTCAAAGGTGTCCCCCGTGTCTCAGAACTGTTATGAAAAGAAAAGTCATGCTCGTTGAATTAACCCAATTTTAGGGCTTCGACAGGGAGAGTCGTCCAGAAACAATAAACAGGTAAAAATGAGTCTAATGTAACATTTAATGATATTATATTTATTCGCCTATCCTAAGCTTTTATAGCATCAAGTGACCTTTCAAGTTCAGTTTTATTTGTATAGGAAGTTTCTGTAATCATATCAGTAATAAACTCTGAAGAGCTCCTTTGCTTTTATAAAACTATATACCAAAGCTTTAGTTTATTTTTTAAATCTACAATTTATATAGCACATATAACCATCAAAGTTATTGTTAGGGTTGTGCTTATTTTGACGTGTTGGAAGTTGAGCTAAACGCTTTCTGCAACTTCCTGTGCCATTATGTCACTGTAACCACTTCTAATTATTATTAGAAATTATTTGTATCTAAAATACTTCCCTGACTATATTTAACATTAATTCATTTTATTTAHAAGCTTAACATCAAACATTTAATTAGAAATAATTTAAGATTTATTTAAGATTATTGATTTAAGATTTTGATTTAAGATTAATTTAATTTAAGATTTTGTGTTTTTATGTCGCAGTCATTCTCTGAGTCAATGGTTTTATTTCTTTTGTTAAGCACAGTGTCAGTATTGTCATATTTAGTATTTTCTTGAGTAAATCTACAGTTTTATTTCATCACTGGACTGCACACCAACTAAATTTTAAAATAATAAAAAATAAAATGTARTTCTGCAGTTTGTTAATCAGAGATGTTGCAGCTAACAGGCGACCTGAACTGAATCTGTTTTTGTTTGTTTGTCTTACAGCGTCAGGCAGCACTGCATGTAGGAGGATGTCATTCTCTTCGCCTCATGAACGTAAACTGAAAGAAGACGTGGACGAAGATGACCCCGTTGAACAGATGATATCCCGCACCGGCTGTGCCGAGCTGCATTACTCCGTGCAAGAGTGCATGGCCGAACACCAGGACTGGAGAGCCTGCCAGAAGCAGGTCCGGGACTTTAAAGACTGCATGATGAAGTTCCAGAGTGCTCAGAGAGAACAGCGAGGGAAGCAAACATAAAGCTCCTGCTCATCTGCAGCCACTTGAACACACACACACACACACACACACACACACACACACACACAC